CATTTCATAGTTATAGCTTTGTACAAACATAAACAAATGGGTGTATTAGTTTAAAAGAGACACTATAATAACTACACTCAATTTTTCTAGGTGTGGCATCTTTTATGTACGAAGAAGTAAATCTACAAGTTATTTTCATTCATTCATAACCACTTTCCACGACAATCGGAACTTGATATGAATTTCTCTGATTGTTGTTTATTCGCAGTTCGATACAACTAGTAAGTATAAACTGATTGTAAAACAATTAGTCCCTTTAAATTCATTTAGTATTGTAAGTATAGTAAACTTCACCCCATCGCACAAGCAAGTGGCTATCAGGACTCAGTGGCCGGGTGGATAACGTGATGACATTTGAAACGACAAGTACTGGGTTCGAGTCCCAGAGTGAATACAAACTCAGATGCAAGTACATCCACCTGACGAGTCCCAAATAGAACGAAACGCTTGTCGTGGATTCCACTGCTAGCCACTATCCATCTGTGCTTACCAATTAGTCCATTTGATGAATTTGGATAGTGTGAAAACAAGACGTAGATATCTGTATGATATATTAAAGGAATACATTTCGAATCACTTGGTCACATATATACTTGTTAAGAACATTTATACATGAAAATGAAAGGTCAACTAGACGAATTGAAGGTAAAAGGAAGCAAAGATAATAAAGTAAATAATGTGAAACTCATCACAGTGGATAATGAACTTATATTACCAGGGTAGGTTTAAGGTGAGAACAAGCTTGTAATTGGATATATATATATAAGGGGTTTCGATTTTCGTATGGCTAAAGCTTCAATAAGTCTTAGGTATACGCCCTTTAACACTTTTGTATAACACCAAAATAAACACTGTGTTAAGATTAATTTTATGACCTGTTTCAACTATATATTTAGCAGTAAAGGATGATGAAGGTTTATTATCTACTCTTAATTAATTACTTACTTACTAAGTTTTGTAACCACTTAGGTACATGTCCAGACATTTTCATATGTGGTTTTGGTGTTAGGAGAAAGTTACAAATATTTTATAGTGCTTGGGAGACTAGAATATACACTCAGTTACCCCAGTGCATATATACTACTGAACTTAGTAAGTGGGTAGTTGAAGTTACATACTTTTGAACAGCAAATTGGTGAGTTATTATATGGTAACTGTGCTGTTGGTACGGGCCGCATTCACGTCAACGGTCAGTATTAGGGCTGGTAGGGTGTAATTAGATTAACCTTGTTGTAATAAGCTACCGTCTTAATAAAGTGTAATGTGGAAAAATAATGCAACACAGGATCGATTGTTACATAGTTCTACGTTTTCAACACTATTTGACAACATTTTACCTAATGTTTGGCCCTACTAAATTGTTGACTAGGTAAAGGTCTACTTACAAGTTGTAAGTAGGATGAAAACCCTACGCATAAAAAATGTGGGTTCCTGTTGTAGCGGTAATTAAATCCCCAAAATAAATAGCTCTGTAAATCTTCGACGTTGGATTCTGACCGAATTAGTTTTAATGGACTAACCTAGCTGAATGCTCTAGGTCATGCATCCGCACTAGGTCACCAGTGGGAACGCCATGCTCAGCATCCCCTGCAATCGCTAGCCAGATTAGACCAGTAGATCCACGATGTATTGATAACCTATCAAATATATCTTGGAACCTACTCGCTTCTGTCTTTTGATTTCACTATGTGGGTACGATTCATAATAGGTGTTACTGGTCAAAGCATTATCACACTCCGAATACCTGTGGCATCTTCACTGTCCTTGTTCAATCAGTCTGATCCACGAAATATATATATATATATATAATGATTGTACAGCTTGATAATAAATTCGTTGAAAAGAGATCCCTTCGCTGAACTTCGTGTTTTTAATTTTATTGTTTAAATGAGAATTATATATGTCAATTAGTGTACGGTTGTCAGATTTTAGTGAAATATTATGAAATTTGTGCCCATATACATTCGATTGTTCCCACTCGTGTTCTTGTTCACTACATCATAACTTAACAATTCTCTTATTAATACAATAAACTCACCTCTTATATTTTTATCACCACGTGCCATCAATCCTAATGATTTGACTTCATAAAACGTTATTACTGGTGTCTTGAAACTATAATTCAAACTACATGTTGAAACATTGTGTCATATAGGACAACAAGCTTCCTTAGTTAAGACACTAGATTCTCACTCTATCGATGTATGCTGCATCTATAAAACGTGCATATATGTGAACTATAGCATATAGATGAAACAATAATACAATGAAATATCTGATTTCAATAAAACATATCGTCTAAATAACTGGTTAGCGTTTTTTTAGCTAATTGGTTTTCTACCGGATGGGGTCGCTAACCCCATAAACAACCCTCATTCTTTACCCGGGCTTGGGACCAGCAGTAGCCCCTGGAGGAGCTACAGCAACAAGCTACTGTGGGAGACAACAAACCAGATTCCAGTGGAGGAAGAAATCAGGAAGAAGCCCTGGAAGTGGATAGGACACATTGAGGAAATCACCCAACCACCTCACAAGACAAGCCCTCACATGGAATCCTCAAGGCCAAAGGAGAAGAAGAAGACCAGAGAACACATCACGTCGAGAAATGGAGCCAGAAATGAGAAGAATAAACAAAAACTGGATAGAACTAGAAAAGAAGGCCCAGAACAGAGTGGGTTGGAGAATGCTGGTTGGTGACCTATACTCCATTGAGAGTAACAGGCGTAAGTAAGTAAAGTCATATAGAACAACTAGCTTCCTTAGCTAAGACACTAGAATTTCACTCTATCAATGTATGCTGCATCTATAAAACGTGCATATATGTGAACTATAGCATATAGATGAAACAATAATACAATGAAATATCTGATTTCAATAAAACATATCATCTAAATAAATGGGTAGCGTTTTTTCAGCGAGTTGCTTTTCTACGGGATGGAGTCGCTAACCCCATTCCCAACCCTCATCCTTTACCCGGGTTTGGGACCAGCAGTAGCCTCTGGAGGAGCTACAGCAACAAGCTACTGTGGGAGACAACAAATCAGATTCCATCCAGCGGACGAAGAAATCAGGAAGAAGTGCTGGAATTGGATAGGGCACATTTTGAGTGAATCACCCAATTGCTTCACAAGACAAGACCTCACATGAAATCCTGAAGGTCAAAGGAGAAGAGGAAGACCAAAAAACACATTACGCCGACAAATGGAGACAAACATGAGAATAATGAACAAAAGTTGGATAAAACTAGAAAGGAAGGGTGAGGACAGAGTGGGTTGTAGAATGTTGGTCGGCGGCCTATGCTCCATTGAAAGTAACAGGTGTAAGTAAGTAAAGTCATATAGGACAACTAGCTTCTTTAGCTTACTTACTTACTTACTTTCGCCTGTTACTACCAATGGAGCATAGGCCGCCGACCAGCATTCTCCAACCCACTCTGTCCTGGGCCTTCTTTTCTAATTCTATCCAGTTCTTGTTCATTCTTCTCATGTCTGTCTCTATTTCTCGACGTAATGTGTTCTTTGGTCTTCCTCTTCTCCTTTGACCTTCAGGATTACATGTGAGGGCTTGTCTTGTGACGCAATTAGGTGATTTCCTCAAAGTGTGCCCAATCCACTTCCAGCGCTTCCTCCTGATTTCTTCCTCTGCTGGAATCGGGTTTGTTCTCTCCCACAGTAGAATCTTGTTGATAGCGTCTGGCCAACGGATCCGAAGTATCTTGCGTAGACAACTGTTAATAAACACTTGTATCTTCTGGATAATGGCTTTCGTAGTTCTCCACGTCTCTGCCCCATACAATAGAACCGTCTTGATATTTGTATTGAAAATTCTAACCTTGGTGTTGGTTGACAATTGTTTTGAGATCCAGATGTTTTTCAGTTGTAAGTATGCTGCTCTTGCTTTGCCGATCCGCGCCCTCACATCTGCATCTGATCCACCGTGTTCATCAATGATGCTGCCCAGATATGTAAAGGTTTCCACATCCTCCAAAGCTTCTCCGTCAAGTGTAATTGGATTGGTGCATATTGCGTTGTATCGGAGTCTTGCTTTTCCTTTTGTTTATATTGAGACCGACTGCTACTGAGGCTGCTGCTACACTGGTCGTTTTCTCCTGCATTTGTTGTTGCGTTTGTGATAGAAAAGCCAGATCATCCGCGAAGTCTAAATCGTCAAGCTGCATCCTGCCTGTACACTGTATCCCGTGCATTCCTCCAGATGTTGACGTCTTCATAATCCAGTCGATCACCAGGAGAAAGAGAAAGGGTGAGAGTAAGCAACCTTGCCTTACACCAGTCTTTACTTCAAACGAGTCGGTGAGTTGTCCTCCGTGGACAATTTGGCAGTTTAGTCCATCATAGGAGTTCCGTATGATTTTGACTATCTTCTCAGGCACGCCGTAGTGTCGTAGAAGCTTCCATAGTGTCGTCCTGTCCACGCTATGAAATACCTTCTCGTAGTCGATGAAGTTGATGTAGAGTGATGAATTCCATTCGAATGATTGTTCCACAATGATACGTAGAGTTGCGATTTGATCTGTGCACGATCTATCCTTACGAAATCCAGCTTCTTTAGCTAAGACACTAGAATTTCAGTCTATCAATGTATTCTGCATTTATAAAACGTGTATATAGATATGAACTATATCATATAGATCAAACAATAATACAATGAAATATTTGATTTCAATAAAACATATCATCTAAATAACTGATCATTAAAAATTACAATTCAAGATATAAAGTATAAAGGGAAGATGTCTTTTCTTCCTTTCTTTACAAAAAAAAGGTGAGTGAAAAATTAAAGTTTTTTTTTTCTTAGATTAAACATTATAATAAGTAGTCCCTAACTGATTACATGTATAGCACATATATGTACATATATATATACTACTTATTTCTTATATCTGACATATAATTTAAACAAAACCAAAGATGATAGATTCAATCTTGTTACATATATATATATATCTATATATCTAAGCATTGAATGATATTCAATATCTCTCATTGAAAGCTTGTTAATTTTGGCGCTATTGATGAATGATTATTATTTTGTTTCCAATTTAAATGATCATTTATACAACATGTTAATTCTTCATATGTATCACATATTGGTTGACAACTATTAGTTGGTGATGATAAATTTGATTGTTTTGTATAAATTGAAAATGGTGGACTTGATATTGATGTATTTGTAATAGTATTAAATTGTAATTTATTAGATATATTCGTTGAACGGGTATAATATACGGATCTATGGTGATTATTATCATTGATAGGGAGTTTAGGTAATGTTAATGAATTTCTTTTTAATGAAGGATACATTAATTGATTGGTGTTATTATGATTATTTGTAATTAATTTGATAGTATTTTGAGAAGTATCATTATTGTATTGTGTTATAAATGGTTCTGTTTGTGATGAAAATTTGGTTTGATATGAATTTGGTTCATAATTAATATTTGTCCATAAAGCACTACAAAAAGAAGAAGAAAAAAATGAAAGTGACTGTTTAGATCCATATGGTATTGTATGTATGGGACTGCAATTGATCAGTCTCTCATTGGTATATATATATATATATATATATATATACATATTGTGCATATTGCCTCGATAGAGCACAGCATGCACATATGCAAATAAGAGAATGATCAATTGCAGTCCTAAAAATCAATGGGGATATTCAAACAAACAATACTAAGTGAATTTTAACTTCATCTCATTGTACAAGCAAGTTGCTATTAGGACTCAGTAGCTGATTGGATAACGTGATGACAGTTGAAACGAAAAGTACTGGATTCGAGTCGCAGAGTGAATACCAATTCAGATGCAGGCACATCCACCTGACGAGTCCCAAATAGAACGAAACGGGCGTCAAACTGGATTTCACTGCTAGTCACTATCCATCTTTGCTTAAAGTTACTGTTTTTTTAATCTAAAAATATGTTAGTTGACTTCAAATTCTATATAAGTATTAAGTAAGTTTAGGATATTATACTATGTTAAGGATAATCAGTAGGAAGTCCAGAAAGTCAATACTGAATATATAAGTTGAAAGATAAAATTGTAAACTACATAGAGATTATCAAACCGACATTAAGAACTAAAACATAACGGTGACTGATATATATATATATATATATATATATATATATATAATTATTTTATTTAAAAATATAAATATTGGTACAAAGTGGCACTAGATATTATATGCGCCACACAAATCTTATTTGATTTGTGCGAGGACTGACATACTGCCTGTGTGCCGAACCGAAGCAGGTGGTTGTCTTAGGAAGCCACAACCGGAGCCTTTGACCTAAAGGTCTGATCTACAAGGCAGTGGAGCATCATGAGGAGATGCAGTTCCATGGTAGCCGGTGATCAACGATTGGAATCAGGGTTATTCCAACTCCCTAGGTTGACTTTTCGTGTCCATCAACCTGGTCAAAGCGCCGGACATTCACTTTTCGTCCTCTCAATTTGGTAAACAACACCGGTGCCACGAGAAGGCAGTGGTTAGGACTTCACTGGAAGAATCTATATACGCGTGGCCATATGAGAGCGTTTTGAGAGAGAGCGCGGAGTCTCCCCACTCTCAGCCGTACCAGGGCATTCAGGGGCATACATATATATATCTTTTTATAAATGGGATAGAATTAGGTTAAAAATGTTCTTGTTTATCATAATATTTTACTATCATACCATAATACAACATGGTACGAGATTATATTACTATTAGATTAGATAGTTGGTTGATACACTCTGCATAGATTGAAATCATGTTCTATCACATATACGATTCACTTCAAAATGTAGAGAATCTCAATAATATACTGAACAATAATTTACTCAACACAATTACATGTAGTGTACAGTCAATTAAGTTCAGAGTGGAAATAAATAATAGTAAAGAATCCTTATACTGACAAGTTAGTATGTTGAGTACATCTCTATACTTAATCAGTAGTCATTTACATTTTACTAAAACTTTAAACAATCTGTTTCTAAGTTTTCAACAGGTTGATATAAAATTTTATCTTTTTTTAAATAATCACAAAGGGGGTTTTGTGGAGATTTTAATAATTTTATAGTTGAAATCATGAGTCAATTGAAGGTAGACTACCGTGTGACTGATAGGTCCTAGGTTTGATTCTCGCGAGGCGGGATCGTGGGTGTGAACTGCTAAGGAGTCTGACAATAGGACGAAACAGCCGTTCAGTGCTTCTAGGTTTTCCATGGTGGTCTAACTTCAATTGACTCATGATTTCTTTTGAATTAACATTCAAAATATGTTATTTCCGAATTTTTGATAAGATAAACTGCTAAGTTGAAATAATTTTAACGGTGAATAATGCTGTACAATAAACCATTGAATAAATTCTTAGTACTTTATGAAAAAGTCGTTAGTTTTCCGAAGTTCATTAGCTGAAAGTATACGCTATTTTGGATGATCTATGATGTAAATCAAACACCCTTTACATTGTTTCTGTCAGTCAGTACACTAACCTTACCTTATCTACCTCTGAAATGTATTCGATAAACTGTGTAATAATGACTGATTGTATTAGTATAAAACAGTTATCATTGTGATGTACATGTATTATCATAGTACACTTTGTGTAAACTTAGTATCATTGTCATCTCACTAAGCTAAGAATATGGATTTCTCTTTGTTATAGTTTTCTGTACGTTTGGAAAAGTCCTCAAAGTATGAGTATATCTTCATTGAAGTCGATATATTATATGATCGTAAAAATTAACTATACTTAGAGTTATACACAATAAATAAAGAACAGAAATATAGTCTTGAGGTAGATTCTTAATTCATTCAGTCAAGTCAATGTCGAATCTGGAACTAGTGTACATTAATCCAACTTGTTTATCTTTATATTACCAAACAAAAAGTAAATGAATAAGATAAGGTATAACGGAGAAAAGCTAATATCGGCTAAAATAGAAATCTCGTTACATGAAATACAGTACACAGTTAGCAACACAACTCTTGATTACAAGTGTTACCAAGGAGTCTGAACTTAGAGGCATGGCTCACATCAAGATTAAACGACCTCGTAGAATACTGTCATACCTTGACTTATTTACCTCTAGACGTTTTTTTCATAATTATATGTCAACCAATATTAAACGTTAAGCAATCGTAACATATAACCCAACTACTTTGGTCAATGAAAGTTTACTGTTTCCTAAATGAATCTGTGGTGTATGCTACCTATGTTTGCAAATATAAGTAGTATTTGACACCGATCGGAAGTGGAATGTCTGCGAACAGAAGGCTTAGAGGATGGAAATGAAGAGAGGAGAAAAGGAAACTGGAAGCGATCAAGATAACACATGAATGAAGAAACAATAAATCTTGTAAGAGGCAATTCAAAGAAGATGTGCAAATGATGCATCTGATGTATGATTTTCACATTTAATTAAGTCACTGTGTGATTTTGCACTAAACAATAAATTGGTCATCCCCACTTGACCTACTCGTTTACTACAAGTTTACCCTTCTCAGCGTATTGCAATATATTTAACCTAAGGATTAGATAGTTGATCTATTATATACAAGGAAGGATTTGGGGGGCAGTACGATCATACACCTACACTCCACATTATCTCTTCTACTTTCATAGTCCATGTTATATATCCATACAGAATAGACTGGTGAGTAGTATATTCATCGCTTCGTAGACAGACAGACATCTTGTTTTATACACAAGCGGTAATTAAAAAATAATATATTTTTTTTATCAAATGAAAACTATCAATGACATAAAAGATGTTGCTCTTTTTTTCCATCACATATAAAGGGTTTCGGTGAATTATAACTTTATTTTTCTTGTCTCAATTATGATAAACAATAATCCTATTCCTTCAATTGAAACAAAGTTGATGAGCTTAGTCACAAAGTTGTTAAAAGTTTACATACTACTCACAAGTAGCCTAAATAGCGATGATAAAAATAGTCTAGATCCTATTTTTGTCTTAAATATAGTTGAGTCCGGGATAAGCCTATATTCTTGGATGCCTAAAAATGTTTGATACTTCTAGAGTGGTGTGGTTGTATAGCCTCTTATTAGGACATTTACATTGGAATGTAAGAGTTTAGAGACTTCTGACTGAATACTGATTATTAGAAATGATATTTTCCATGATATTTCACAACTAATTTATTGTCACATAATATTTGGACTGTAGAATAGCTAAGTGTTTAAGTAAAAAAGACGTTTTGTAAACTTCATGATACTTGGGGTGACATGTACGAACTATTGTTCAAGATTTGGCTTAACTTCCGAAGAAATAGATATACGCTATTGGTTAAAATAGTGGCTCACGTTTTTGAGGGATATTTATCTATACTTATGAATGTGTGTGTGTATATTTGTGTATATTTAATTTCGATTTGGCTTAATCAATAAAAGCTTCTCCCAACTCTTGGTTTTCTTACTCAATTAGCTAGTTGAGCTCAAGTATAGGGAGCTCATACACCAGTTGCAAACTCGGATGACTTCAAAACATAACAATTTGCCTTTCATTTTACCAAAGGTCCCAAATTTATTAATTTTAAGGTCATTTGTAAGTACCCATATATTATAAGCACAAAAATGTAGGCTGAAGATAAAAGCTTGGCGATAGCCAGAAGTACGATAAATAGATATAAGCCACAGTATCACACAAAATAAATTGAGGTTAAATATGTAGATTATTAGAACTAACCAAAGCAGTTTAGAAATGAAGCGTTTTCTGGAAAACGCTAAAAAAAATAGTGGCAAACACATGTTTCCATCTACCTGACCAAATAAATCAATCGCTAAAAACATTGCTGACCTTTTACGAACAGAAACTTTGCGATTGTTTCGACGGCGATAACACACTATACCAATGATAAGAACACTAATAAGCCATATCAATAAACCTATTATAATGAACGCCTGAAGAAAAAAAACAGAATAGTAGAGGGTCATACATTAACTTCATGGAAAAATTCCACTAATAAAGTGATTAGGACAATTAAATTTTACAATGAGTTAAAAATTCTCATTGAAAGGACTATATTTTATGGGCGAACCAATGAGATTTAGAATATCAAGTCTTGGATTTCGACTCGAAATTCATCCATCCAAATGGCTAAATATTATCTCGGCATTATAGCTGATTTCAGTTCGTAATGAAAACCCTTAATACAATTTTTATTCATCACTATATCTAAATCCTAATCCTGATTTCTCGCGCTAATTTGTAATCTCTTTTGATCCTAGTAGGTTGATGAATTTTCTCAAGGTCATCCTAGCATCGTTCAAAGATCGTTCATAAATTATATTCTGACCGAAGCGTCGAAAACAAAAGAGGTATGAACATATGATTGGTCCAAAGTTTTAGAACACCTCGGTAGCAAACACTTTTGATCTTATGCGAACTAGAACTGTGCAGATTGCCTCGATATTGATAATAAGTCACAAGAATTTTAACCAGAGATAGACAGTAGAATCCAGGAGGCGCGTTTCTACACATTTTTGACTCGTCACACGGATACACCTGCGTCCAAGAGTCAATGTTCAATTCGGCATTCACATTCATCCAGCTAACAAGTCCCAAATAGGATGAAATTCGCATCTTGGATTCCACTGCTACCCACCATCCATCTCTGCAAAACATACTTCTAGTAATTTGCTAAAAATAATATTTCGTTTATTCCTATCATAAAGCTGTAGTAACACAGTAAATTTTCAAGCATACACTTAAATTTAACTATTACAGTCAGTCAGTCACAACGTAGAACTTCGTACGCATGTACATCAGTTCGATTTGCCATACCACATTAGCACAGAGATACAGTTGTCGATTCAAATCCGATGGTGGTAGAATGAGGACTGAATACAAAGCTCACTTATAAACATACAATATAAAGAAGTAAAATAGCGTTATCCATAACAATTGAAGCTTTTCAATAAAATTCACATAAATCACCTTTCTTTTAACTTACCAAAATTATATAATTACGTGTTTCATTGTTAGAAATTTGACCTGGAATTAAAGATAATGAACTAAGAAATAATCTAATTAAAATATTAAGGAAAGTATATTCAGAATATATAAAATTTTAGAAGGTGGTTTTGTGGAGATTTTAGTAATTTTATATAGTTGAAATCATGAGTCAACTGAAGCTAGACCACCTGGAAGCACTGGACGGCCATTTTGTCCTATTGTGGGACTTCTCAGCAGTGCGCATTCAAGATCCCGCCTAGCGAGATTCGAACTCAGCGTTACATTTGACTATTTTGTTGGACAGATGTAACGTTGCAATGAGTATTAAAATGAATAAAACATTGAATGATACGGTAACAAACCGTAGAGAAAACCCCACACTAATAATATAAGTCGCAAATAAAGTGTAACAGTGTAGGATTCTGGACACCTATTTAGAAATTGTTTGATACTACTTAGTTTTGATTGTTTCTTTAAATGATCCAGGTTTCGATAAAATATTGTGTATTCAACTTCGTTAGTCTTTCAAAAACAACGTAGATGAAGAATTCAATTCTTGATTTTATATAAGTATCTCAGTGACTGTTGTAAAAGAAATCTTTATTTGAAAGTATTTCCTCTGGTTGGTAACTATAGTTGAATCATACTCTGTGATAAGGCTATATGACACACCAAATATGGATCTGTATGCAGGCTATTCTCAATTTATTAATTATTCACCTTCCTAAGCTTGGCTCCCCCATGGTCCTGTCACAATCAGTTCATCAAATTATACATATATTTATTTATATATAATTTGGCTTTTGGGAATCTGAATTTCTGTGAATTACAAATCTTATTATACATAGCTGATTGAATAATTTAGAATATCGACCTTGAATTGAATTTTTTGGTGGAATCAACTTGAAGCCTAAAACGATGATGAAAAGGCTCAAATGTGCCATTTGATTCCCAATGATACAAGATCATCTTCCACTTATATTAATTTCTTCATTAGTAAAATCTAACTCAGTAGTAAAGCTAGCGATACAGTAGCTGACATATTGATAGTAAAAGGGAAGGGAACTTTTGTGTTGATTGACCAATAGAAAAATCACTGAACAAAATTATCGGTTAACATAAACTATATGGATGATCTTGGGCTACAATGCAAGCTGTATCACTCTTCCGTATACAAACTTATGAAACGTGGGGTTGAAACTGAAATTAAACATTAGAGTAAGAGAATACTATTTAGCTTCATGAAGCACTCGTGACTACTCATTGAATTTCATCCAGTACTTCAATACACATTCTGCCTTAAGAGCAGGTATTTTTTATAATTTAGCTTAATAACCAACTTAATTTCACTTTTTGGTTGTTTAATAGATACTTTCATGGAATTCAAGCATTTTCAGAATTAAATATTGCCACTATTTACTTTATAAGAAGAGGGTTTTGTGGGGTGAGGAGCCCCACAATAGGACGAAACGACCATCCAGTTCTTTCAAGTTTTCCATGGTGGTCTAGCTTCAATTGACTGATGATCTCAACTATACAATATTTACTTTGTTAATAATAACATACAGTTTATATATCAATAAGGTTTAAACTTCGAAGAAAATACATGAGGCCTTATCTTACCTGTTATTGGTTAACTCAAGGCTGTCAAGTATGTTATGCTTTTACGAAACTATATATGGGATTCAGTTATCAAACTAATATTCAATCTACACTCTACTTGTAACTACCTTATCAGTATATTTTATTGTCGAAATAATTTGTATATTTCAATATTATATTAGCTGTACAACAAACTAATTCATTTAACTTACAGTTTATCTCTAAATCCCCCTTTTACTTTACAATCTAACTTTCTCTCCCACTTGTAATTGACATGTATTTTACTGTAAAAGGGAACATAGCTCTCTCTCTATATATACAATTATTCATTTATATGCTAGTTTTCTTTTTTTTTTTGAAGCAATACTTTATATGAAACATATAATTTTGTTGCCAAGTCAACTAAACTGTAACTTTCTATTAAAAACAAAACAAAAAACTACTACACTTGTTAATGTTCAATAATTAAGTAAACACTATACAATAGTGAGATTTGTTTATATTCATGTATATACGTAAATGTATATCATCTGTATGGAGTTAACATGTTTATAACCTGTTAAATACTGTTAAATAGATTAACAGTTATAAACTGTTTACTTTTCTCCCATCCCCCCCCTCCACTATTTTATAACTTTAAAATTAACTATCTTTTGTAGAATAATATATAAGAATTAATGATCGAATAGTTTCACATTATTCGGGTGCCCAATTGATGTAAGACATTCAAGAGGAAGAATGTATTTGTAAAATCTCAGCGAATAAGTTTAAAGTAAATCTAACGTTTCACTTGGCAATCTGGAAAGCTTGAACTAAAGTGCCAAGCGAAACGTTGGATTTATTACAAATTCACTCGCTGAAATTTTACAAATATATCCTTCCCCTTTAACTATCTTCTATTATTTTTGTGTCCCCTTCTTCTGTTGGATACAATCTAGATGTTGTATACATAGGAAAAAAACGGATTGAAAAAGATATTGGATCATATGTTTTATTTATTGTAATAAAAAAAAACTCAACATTACTGCCCCCCCTTTTGTCTTTCATCAATAAACACTTTATAATTCTATATAGTTAAGATCATGAGTCAATTGAAGCTAGACCACCGTGGAAAACCTGGAAGCACTGGACGGCTGTTTCGTCCTATTGTGGGGCTCCTCATCAGTAAGCATCCACGACCCCGTCTCGCGGGACTCGAACCCAGGACTTTATCATTCGTTAAATTCAGTAATAATCTATTCATGATGAATAAAATAGAAAAAAATTTGTTTATTTGTTTTGTAATAATCGTTAATCGATAAGTGAAATATAAATAGGTCACTCGTTGTGAATGTGAACGTGACTGAACTACATTTGTCACAAATTCACACGAGAACTTCAAAAATTACCCCACGAAATCATTCACTAGGCTGGTTGCGGACGGTCACTACTGAGAAATACAATATAAGAAAGAAATAGCTGTCTAGAACATACTGGTTTTCGAAGGTTGTCTAATCTAAGGTCAGTCCTGAGTTAAGCTTCGAAGTTTAACAATTTTAAAAGACCCCTTACACTAAGAGGTTCGTCCTCTGGAGCATGATAAAGACTAACCGTGAAACCACTTTGATGTAAACTGAATAAACACAAAGAGTTGGCTACACGAGTGCTTTTTTAAACTGTTTAAGTTAGATTTTCGTTAGAATTGAAGTACATAAACAGTAAGAAATATTTTAGTTCCAACGTTTTATTAAGATTAACTGATTTGCCCCAGTTAGATGATTTAGAATAATTAATGAAAAATCTTTGTTTTTATTTAAATTTCCCGAAGGTTAAAATATACCAGTAACATTTAACTTCAGTGTCTGAAAAGTGAAGTAAGTAAATATAACTTTGAAGCATATTAAAGCAGTTAAACCAAATGCTGTGAACCAAAATTCTATACATCTAAAGTTGCGCACAAATTGCTTATATATTTGGGAAGTAATAAAATCCTCCTTTCATAGAAAAGGCTCATTGTGGTTAGCAGTAGAATACAAGATGCTCACTAGGTCCCGTTCGGTGCATGTCAGGTGACATGTTTCTAAACCAGTGTTTACAGAGGGACTAGAACCTGGTATCCTGCAGTTCAAATGCTCAACACATTATCGACTGAGTTACTGAGTGAAAGTAGTCATTCATTTGTGATAATGAGCATGATATTTGTATAGCCATTAGAAAGAGTTTGAATGATCTCATCGTTGGCAATATGCACATTCTGTATAGTGCACAAATCCCAATAAAGATTGATAGAGATTTAGCAATGCTTATCGACAAGGTATTTTTCAATGCGTCATGACATAACAAATATAGATATTTTATATAGTTGAAATCATGAATCAATTGAAGCTAGACCACCATGAAGAACCTGGAACCTGGGAATCCTCAGCAGTGCGCACCCTACGATCCCGCCTCGTGAGATTCGAACTCAGGACCTATCAGTCTCGCTCACGAGCGCTTAGCCATTAGACCATTGAGCCGGCATCCAACGGTGTACCCAGTGGAGTTCAACAACGTCTGTTGGGAGATATCAACTCACTGAAGACATTGATGAATTTTTTATAAATTTCGTGAACTGGTTGAAGTTAGACATTAACACCATTGGATGACGGCCGGCTCAGTGGTCTATTGGTTGAACTCTAGTGCACGCGAAACTGATAGGCCCTGAGTTCGAATCTCGCAAAAAGGGATCGTTGGGTGCGAACTGCTGAGGAGTCCCATAATAAGATGAAACGGCCGTCCAGTGCTTCCAGGTTTTCCATGGTGGTCTAGCTTCAATTGACTCATGATTTCAACTATATAAAATTATTAAAATCTTCACAAAACCCCCTTCTGATAAAATATAGATATGCTGCATTCTACTAACTACTTTTATAAATTACACATGTTTCATTTTGTCTCTTTTCGTTATATTTGTAATCAATGAAAGATAGAGAGTTATGAAAGTGATATAATCAATAATTCTAGCCAAAGAAAAACTAACATTCGATCATCTATAAACAGTGCTTGTTTTTTCTGTTGTTAAAACTACACTTTCAATTTAATTTCCTTGTCTCTCGTTAAGAAATACCTTTTTCTCCCTACCTAAAAAACGACTTTCAAGGTAAATGTTTACTAAAAACCTTACTATTTAAATAAAATACCCAACAGTTAATTTGATACATTTGCTGGTGAATGTGTTAGTACTTTCGTTTTCTGTCATAGTAAATGTGTACTGACTGAACACTGATATAGAAATGACAGTAATATACACAATTAGATAAGATATTTATTGTTGTAAGGTATATAAAGAAAAAAGAACAACAACAACAACAACAACAACCCATCATTTACTGTCATTTGGACATTTTTTGATAATCATATCATATCCTAAATAGGACTTAAACACGCGTCCTGGATCTCATTGCTAGCCACTATCCATCTTTGCTTATATCCAAATTTAATTCAGATATTATTGAACAAAACAATAAAATTGTTTAAAATACAGTTTCTAATTTGGTTCATTTATGAACAATGAATGTTTGTATGTTAGTTTGTCTAAGATGGAAACAAATTCAGTCCCCCCCTCCCCCATTTTTTCGTTGTTGATAAGTTGGTTGTCAAAACCTATTTGTTTAGTCTATTGGTTACAACAATTAAATTTTTTCCATGATTTTAATTGTCATTCTTTTTATTTTATATTAATTTTAACTAAAATAAACCAATACAAGTCTATTCCAAGCTTATATACACACTTCTATTATATAGTTGTATTCCATTAAGATGATTATTATGGTCTATTATTGCAAGTCTTATATTACTAGCTTACGTATTACGTAAACAAGGTAAGGGGTTTGAAAATAGTCTTATACAACTAATTGATCAATGAGTAGTGACCAATCTCAGATTAGCTTAGTCCTTCAGTGTTGGATCTATGGGATTTATTTTCATCACTACTTGATAGTCAATCAAATGTAAATATATCTCATTCCTATAAAAAGCCAGTCGCTAATCAAATAGCTCAGTTGGTAATGTTTAAAACAGTAAAGTAAGATTATGTGTAATTGAATCTTATAGGGAGTATCAGTTCTCCCAGGATTATAGGTATCCCTTACTTGAGAAGTCCAACAGTCAAAAAGCTTAGGTCGAGGAGGTTTTCATACAGACTATTTTCAGACACCTAACATCTCAGAATATTTATCCATTTGGAAGACAGTTTCTGTCACAGTGTGACATCAACGACAGCCATCTGTAGCATTCATAGGTTAATTGTTTTACTGCCATGAATTTGTAGTGCAATTGTCACTATATCTAACCAGAACTTCATTCTCTATCAGAAATATACTGAATTTGGAAATAAGGATCAAAACCTCATCATTTTTATCACCGTACTTGAACGAGTATAGATATAAATTCTATTGGTAAAATTTCATAATCAGAGATAAAGGGAATTTCTAAAAACTTGGTACTTAGGTTATTATGAAATCAGTAGAAAGATTTATACAGGTTTAACGCACAAACCAGTTGGAATAACGTCAATCGATGACATATTTAGGAGTCAATCTAACATAATGGTTACCTGTAATGAAAGTGTACTTGGAATTAAAAATTTCACTGGCGTCAACTAACTAATCAAGAGATAATTCAAATGAATTGATTCAAATTTTCAAAAATATTTTTTCAATGTTCATTACTATTTAAAGTCACTGACAATTGGACTGAGCCATGTTGGTAGGTGTAGACTACCTGGTTAGGATCCGCGAGATGATAGTAATCGACGGTTAGAGACCTTGAATGAAATGTCTCAAAATCGTTTGCAATGGCGAAGATTCATCCACTCTTTGTGTTCTGCCAAACTTTAATCTTCTGAATTCTTCATGTCCCTATCCTTTTTCTCTTTTCAAATTTATTTCATTGTATTATACTCCTTGAATAACATCTTCAAACCCTAATATTTCACATAATGCTTATACTCTTACTACTTCTACCACCATGGGATTTTAATTGACAACTGCATCTCTGTATCAATGTGGTATGGTAACTCGAACTAATGTACGTACGTACGAAGTTCTACGTTGTGACTGACTGACTGACCGACTATTTAAAGTAAACACTGGAGTCAATGTACGAAAACAATACATAGAAAAACAATGTAAGCCTCAAAACTAAGTCATCTAACACAAAAGGAATATAATATCATATAGACTATATTATTCAAACCATCTTCTCAAGTATGACTAATGGTTCTTTTCATATATCGTTGTTTCATTTTAAAATTATAATTTAAACTACTATTGTGATATATGCTACTTATGTCAATATATAACGCCAATCAGGAATAGAATGACTGACAGTAAAGAGTCGTACACATCTAGGAGAAAAGAACGGAAACAAAAAGCCATTGATATGGAAATACAGGAACAATAAAGTCTGAGACAATTAATAGACATTTTGCAAATAAAGTATTATAGTACGTCGTTTTTTGCTTTATCAAGTAAGTGTGTAATTTTGTGCCAAAAGGATAATCGGTTGTCTTCGCCTATGTTCTCGTTCACTACACTATTAACTCACAATTAGTGTTTTTCTCAAAATAATAAGAAAAAAAGAAACGTATGCTGAATATCAAATAGCTAATTCAACTTGAAAATTTCTTACCAGATGGATTCATGACACCATCAGATTCTTTAATTGTTGTTTCCTGACTTTTATCAATCGTCGATACATTGGACTGATCTGAATCTATTATTGTATTTATTGTATTCAAACTAGACAGAGTATCATCAGATCGATCAATGCTAAGGTGTTCATCTTGAATGTTTTGAACATTATCAAATCTTAATTGAACAATCTTAATTGTTTCATCATTACTTCTCATCTCTATTAGTTTTGTTCTATCTATGGGATCTGATCGAAATGTTGATGTTGTTGTTGTCGTTGTCGTCGTCGACGTCGTAACTGATGGTTTATTAATTTTATTATTCATATTAATATTTCTAGTAGATTGATCGATTTGTAATGGTCTGGCTACATGAATTGTTTTTATATCAGGCGCTAAAATAGTCGATATAATTTTAGATTCAATAGGTGTTTGACAAAATTCTCCATGCCAATCCAATGTACATTCACATATTGCACTGGTACTTAATGAAATGATAAGAGAAACAGAAAAGAGGATTACTTTTCTTATATTAAATCAATAGTGATTGTAAATGATAGGTAACCTGCGTATTTTACAATTCGTTACGTTTTAAAGGACTTATGTTATATTCGAAGAAGACTAAATGAATGATGACTTCCAGGTGTTTGACTCTTAATGAATGTTCGTGCAGACGAAGGTGAAGGGAGTGTCCACTTTGTGTGTTTTTGCAGTTGGAACAATTAATTTTATAAATGATGTTCGAATGACCTATTCAGTTGTACAATGAAACGAAGAACCATGTACCTATTTATATTCGATAATTTTGATGTTTGATTATAATTTCTTGAAAAAGCTTGGACCAGATTGCCAGGCGAAACGTTGGATTTACTAAAAATTCATTAGCTGAGATTTTACAAATATATATTATTCCTATTTAATGTCTTACGTCAACTCGGCGCCCAAATACTGTGAAACTATTCGCTCTAATTTAGACGAAAGTTCTTATATATTTCTTTCTTTGGTTTGTATAGGATTGATTAGAGTGGTTTTTTGTGTTTTTTTTGTCCTACACCTTTTGCAAAAGGCTTTAATAATCTCGCTGTAATTTTGGATTTGTCTTTTATATATGGTAGTGTTATATCCCAACGAGAATAATAATAGGTAACTGTTTGGATCTATCTATGGACTAATATTATTCGCATATTTTTATTGTATAACTATTGCGTAATTATAAGCAAAGATGGATAGTGGCTAGCATTGAAATCCAGGACGCGCGTTTCATCTCATTTGGGACTCGTCAGCTGAATGTACATGCACCTCAGAGTTGATGTTCACTGTGGGACTCCTAAGCATCCTAGCATCGATGGGAAGATTCAAACAAACAATACTAAGTGAATTTATTACGTAATTAGATTATGTATATTCATCCAGCTCAAAGAACAAAACTCCACCAGGATGAGAACGGTTAACAATGCGACTGATATGCGAAGCCTCAATAATTATTACGAAGCTAATCTACGAAACCCTCTTTAATAGTTGAATTTTTAAACATAGTTTAATTGTATACGATTGAAAAATGAATTCGAGGAGTTCAGTTCAAAAGATGATAGTATTGAAAGCAACCTGAACATCAACAACAAGTAATTTTATCGTATAAGTCACTTCAGTACTTCACTTATATGGATACCTAACAAATTCTAACTTAACTCTTTCATGTATGTAATTTAAACCTATTTTATAATTATAATTACTCAATATGACAGGTTGCAAGGAGCTAACGAGATCCAAATGAAATAAAATCAAGCCATATCAGTTTACTTATATTTTTACTCTTGCTCTCTTCAAGATGATTAAAGGAACTAAAATCTGACAAGAATTAAAACACAATTTCTCTCTCTATTAATAACTCATATCATCGATTGTTTGTCATATTCATTTACAAGATGGCATTGGTGTCAGTTTTCATGTCGAATATTTGGCGTCAGCTGAATAAAATTGATAAATTCTAGTTGAAAGTATTATGATAATCGTTTCCAAAATCACAATGTGATAGCTGTTTGCCGCTTTCAAGTTTAAAATAGTTCACTTTCGTGATTGGATATTTTTTAAATTTAAAACAATCGCATATGATCTATGAGACCCCACAATTGGCAAATAAAGAGCTTGTGTAGTAACATTCTGAATAATGTGTTCTTCATGGCGACATGTCAAGCATAAAAACTAATCCATGGATAATGATGGGAATTATTACTTCGAGAAAGAAAATGACATTATTTACCTTGTGAGAACACATTTTCCATGTAAACACGGTTTACTGCATATTCTAGCACCAGTATTCTCATCACATTTCCATAAATTATAAAGAGGTGTACAATATACCTCACAACGCTGTCCATAATAATTTTTGGTACAAGTTATCTCAATATGGGCTTCAACTCTAAAAATAATAATTCAACAAAGGAAGGAGATGAAACTTTGTAGATGCCCTTCTTTCAGTCTTTCCAATGAACGTGCTTCCTAATGTACATGAGAATTTGTAAATATATTTGAAGGTAACTTGAGAAGGTTATTGGTCCACTTGGATTGATTTAAGAAACATCTGCTGTCGTAGACTAAAAATATTTGAGCTACTGTTAAGCTTCTATTTAGGGTTGTTTTAATCCTTCTATGAGCCTGCCTAAAATCTCCTCACATTTGAATGCAAGATGGATTAGGACAGACGAAGGATTAAATTAGAGTTAAAGAGAAGCTTCCATTCAACCCCAATATTTCCTCTATATAACGCCAGATACAAAAAGAACTAGCTTTATAAAAATAGTATATTTGTAAGATCCCAATCAGTAGGGAAATTAAATTTTTAAATTCTCTGACGTTTCGTCACTCAGTGTAAGGCACTTCTTCAGAGAATAAATTCAGAGGATAAAATTCTTTGTAACTGATCATTTGTAATGTAGGAAAAGAAACTTGTATTTTCGATTTGTGGTTTAAAGAGTTTATGGGAAAAGCCACATAATTTTCATAATTTGTCGATTTTAATTTATCGAACTGAGATTCTGGCCAGTTGAAGACTAGTTACATAGAAATCCAAATAAGTTATGTAAGTATTCGGTAATCGTGATATCAAGGATTACATCGAGAAACAAGTTAATAGATAGCTGAATGTAGATTATGTTGTCAACCATACGAAACTAACTGATTCCACACATTGTGTTGCATATATTTCAGTTTCTTAGAAATAGGATAAAAATACCTATCTTGATGAGACCTTGAACATCAAAATATGATATTCAAGCATCTTAATAACTGGCCATTCACTAGTTACGATATTGAGTTTGTCAATTTCGTTATGTTGATCGAATCCTATCGACCAAGTCACTATGTAGACATACAACAATCCAAGTGGCTGAATATTCTGCGCATTGTAACCGAATGTTCTGTGGCTAGAGATCGTTGCCAATGAGTGAAATAGGTCCTCATGTTCAAGGAGATATCTATTCCCTACTGACGAGTGATGTCTGCCATATTTCTTGAGTTGATTAAACAATAAAGATCGCAGCTGTCTACAAAATTCTTTGAACTCCAACCATATGTTTAAATCATATTTCGTTCAACAGTAGTGATACGTCTGGCCGATTGTGAACGCTATATTTGCTCCCCTAAGCTAGTTCCGTACCCCCCCCCCCGAGCTAGAACTATACAGCAACTTGAAGACCAGAGAAAAGGCACAAAGTATGAGGGAAGCGCTTTACTATAGGATCCATTTATGTACAGAAAATACAGGGGTTTTATAGTAATTAAGAGACATTGAGTTTACATAGTAGCAGTGTGTTAAACAGCCAATCAGGACCTCGTTATTTTAGTGGCATAGCTTCTAACTAATCGCTGATTGGTTGGGGCTCTTTATGAGCCTCTGGAGGCTCTGATAGAGTATACTGTAAGCCGACTTAACAAGTAGACTCATAGATTTTGTGTAAATTCGAGTATCAGTTAGATTACCCATACAGATTTATATCTCTAACAAAGATGAAGTAATTGCTTTCTAAGTATTGTTATTCTTTCATGAATGTGATATTCATATTATCATTCTAAGTCCTACAAGCCACTTCATTGAACTTTGCACTATTTTGTTCCTACTATTACTGTAGTGTCCGCTATCAGTACTTTCTGTTAACTACCTCATTTAAAACTGGTCTTTAATTACTGTTGAGAGTTTGTGGACAGATAGTTGAATTTCATAGATTACATCAGGGGATGATTTTAGTTAAACAAATAGGAAGGAGTGGATAGCTGTTTCATCGAATTATAGGACCCCTCAGTAGAACGCATCCAAAACCCGACAGAAGATCTAATTCACAAACTTCAGTTCTCGAGGTAAGAACATTTAGTGATTTACATCACTAACTTCAATCATTTCATGATGTTTTTATCTACATTACGATTAATCAAATGGGATATCTTAATAATTTACTCCATGATTTTTATATATAGTTGAAATTATGTGTCAATTAAAGCTAGACCACCATGGAAAACCTGGAAGCACTGGACGGCCGTTTCGTCCTATTGTGAGACTCCTCAGCAGTGCGCATCCACGATCTCGCCCCGCGAGATTCGAACTCAGAACCTGCCATTCTCGCGCCAGGTCTGTTGGAAGACATCAACTCACTGAACACATTGGTGAAATGGTTGCTCAATTTCGTGAATTGGTTGAAGTTAACATCGTTGGATGCTGGCAGGCTCAGTGGTCTATCCGTTAAGTGCTCCGGCGCGAGAGTGGTAGGTACTGGGTTCGAATCTCTCTCGCGAGGCGGGATCGTGAATGCGCACTGCTGAGGAGTCCCACAATAGAACGAAATGGCCGTTCAGTGTTTTCAGGTTTTCCATAGTGGTCTACCTTCAATTGACTCATGATTTCAACTATATATAAAAACTGCTAAAATCTCCACAAAAACCCCCTTATTCCATGATTCTTTAAAAAATACATCATATGATTTCATATAGAAAAATGCCATCAAAACAGATAAATATCAATGATCATATTTATTAAGTGAAAATTGTAACACTTATGGTAAGTTTGATTGTAAAATATATCATGATATAAACAATGTTTTTTTGAATATTGAACCAGTTACTTTCAATCTAAACAGTGTCAACAATAATGTTAGCTGGATTTTGTTTAATTGATCTAATGAATTTTATTGAATAAAATTATACCTTATTTCATGTATGAATATGATTTGGTGAGGATTTATCAAGGGACTTAGTTTATATTAAAGAAGTTATTTGGCTGCTTTAAAGTGAAAGGGAAGCATTAAAAAATGGATAGATAAACTTTAATTTTCTAAGGTGAAACATTAGTAATCTAATAAATTTATTGTACCAAGGTGGGATTTCAATGTTGCGTTACTCAAAGATGGATAATGGCTAGCAGTGGAATCCAGTTTGACGAGCGTTTCGTCCTATTTGGGAATCCTCAGGTGGATGTTTTTATTATTTATTTAAACACATATATATTGGTACAAAAGGGCACCAGGTACATATGCGCCACACAAAATAATGAAAGTAGGAAGAGAAGGGATGAAAAGATAAGACGGACTGAAATGTACAACCAGAAGACACTTTCAGTTAAGAAAGTTAGAACCACTCTTTATGAAGAAAGTAAAAGAAAGTTACAGCACGATCGCCACTGGCTTCTATTCTGAGCCATATCTGATAACGTCTCTAGCCACTGTGTTGCACCATCTCTCGGACCCCAGCCAGGGAGTCGTGAAAGACCAACAGAAGCTAGCCCTTTGCAGCTTTCTTTCATGCCACGACACCATGTCATACACTGATCTCCTCTCCGCCTCTTCCAACCAGTCCCAGGGTCGGCAAATGATGCACGACGTGGAAGTTTCTGGGATGGCATTCAGAAAACATGTCCAAGCCACCGAAATCGGTGTTTCAAGATGGTGACACCAATTGAATTATCGTCTCTGTGCCCGAACACACGATGCCGAACCTCTGCATTACTAACATGGTATTGCCACTGGATGTCAGCAATCCTTCGGAGACAACGATGATCGAACACAGAGAGACGTCTAACATCCTCAACTCGGAGAGGCCAGGTTTCACAAGCATAGAGCAAAACTGCTCACACCGACGCGTTGTAGATCTGACCTTTTACAGCCAGACTAACATCACGAAGGCGCCAAAGATGGCCCAGATTGGCATAAGCCGCTCTGGCTTTCATTATACATGCATCAATCTCATCACTCACGCCACCACCAGCACTTATATAGCTACCTAGAAACACGAACTTTTCAACTACTTCAATCTGGTCACCATCCAGGGTGAGTACAGGATGAGAATCCTGCCAGTCTTGTAGGAGTACTGTGATGTGGTCTACTTATATCCATATAAGTAGTATATGGTGTGGGTCAGACATAGAATGTATTTTGGCAGAAGACCGATGAGGAAAGAACTGAAATGAAGCGCAATCGTTTGGAAAATGCATGAGCAATGGAATTAGAGAAGAAACAGTGAAAATTGAAACAATTGATTTTTATTTTACAAATTGACGGTTCATTGTTTGGTTATCAGAATTTACTGAGATAGTCTGTAATGTTTGCTTAAATACATTCGATTGTCCACAACCGGTGTTTTGTTCACTACAGTACTTTGCGGATTGCATGCCTTGGGCGTTATCGCACAGTAAGACAATATCATCCGCATACTCAAGGTCGAGAAGTCGTTCTCCAGGCAGCAGATCCACACCCCCATTACTTACATCCATCAGAGCTGTTTCCAGAATGTCATCGATGGCAAAGTTGAAGAGGAATGGTGAGATCGGGCAGCCCTGCCTAACCCCACTGCTCGAATGGAACAAGGGAGAAAGGTGGTTGTATGCCCTCACTCTGCCTGAGGTGTTCGTGTACAGGGCCTTTAAGATGTTAATGAACTTCTCAGGCACACCCTTCTTCAATAGACAATCCCAGAGAACAGTCCTGTCCAACGAATCGAAGGCATCCCTGATATCAAGAAACACTACGATTGTTGGTCTGCGATAAGTATGACGGTGTTCTAACATTTGGCGGAGGGTGGAGATGTGATCAATGCATCCTCGACCAGAACGAAAACCAGCCTGCTCCTCAAGAGTCAATCGTTCTCGGGTTTTAAACAACCTACGAAGAATGATAGAGGCCAATAGTTTGTACGCAATCGGAAGTAGACTTATCCCCCGATAGTTATTGCAGGAACAACGTGAACCCTTTTTAAAAATAGGGACGACTATCGACTCATTCCATGATGTCGGAACACTTTCTTGCTCCCAAACCTTTCCAAACAACACAGTCAATTCCTTAGTTAGAAGATCACCACCATCTTTAAAAAGAGCCGGAGGTAAGTCATCTGGGCCCGGTGATTTGTAACGTTTCAAGAGTTGGAGTTCCTTGCGGACTTCCGCCTCGTTTGGTGGATCAGTCGTCACCGGCCATGGGGGCAGGACAAACTGGTTGATGTTGCCGGAGAAGCAGGCCAGTTGAACTGCCCTTCGAAAAATTCCGCCCATCGTCCAAGACGTCGACAGATGTTAGTGATTGGCATCCCGTCATCCTCATAGATTGTTTCACCCACACCAGACTTCTTGCTGCCAGTGGCTCAGATGAGTTGGAAGAGCTTCCCGCAGTTACCAGATGCAGCTGCTGCTTCCATCTCATTAGCACGCTCCGACCACCAGGCTTCTCGGTCCTTACGCAAGCTTTGCCCAATTCCATTGCGTAACAGACTTCGTTTGTGGTCATACTCACGGTCATCCGGAGTAGACCGACGGGCTTCCATCAGTTGTAAGGAGCCAGAAGAAACCCAGTGCTTGTAAGCGGGACGTTTCGCGAAGCCGCGAGAGGCTTTACTCGCCATTTTCATGGCGTCGTGAAGATGCTCATCTATACTTTTCGGTGGGATGGTAGCTAGCCTAGAGGCTATCTCCGCTCGATACTTACTTGCAACAGAAGTTGCAGCCAGTTTACTAACATCAATTCGTTGGTGGTGGTCAATCCTTCGAGCACTGAAAAGTAAGGTGAGATTGGCGCAGACCAGGGCATGATCAGACTCCAGATAGGTATTCCGAAAGGAGCGGCAGTCTTGTACACAACCACGCCAGCGGTAGCTGATCGCGATGTGATCAATCTGAGTCCAGGCTTGGGATGCAGAGGGAGGACGCCAGGTGGCACACCGGCGATGACTGTGCCGGAAGTTAGTGCTAGCCAGAAACAGGTTGTGGTCTGTGCACAGTTGCAGCAAACGGTCCTCGTTATCTGTCCAGCGACCAACAAGTCCCCATCGGCCACCTAAACCTGTGCATTCAAGTCTCCGGCTAGTACTACAATATCTGTCGAACGCGCTTTCTGGAGAAGAACTGTTAACTGATGGTAAAACTCATCCTTGATTGCATCCGGGCTGCAATCTGTCGGGGCACAGGCGGAGATGACGAAAAGACACCGTTTCTCACGCCGATTTCTTCTCACTTTGATGGAACTTTCTAATCTAACAGCACATAACCGACTGTTAATGGGGATCCAATCGATTAGTGCTGCCTCAGTCCTAGCGCTTAGTGCGACACCAACGCCAGCGAAACCGGACTAAGATGCCACAGAGTCCCCGGATAAGCGCACGTGGAACAAGCTTTTCGAGGCGACAGATGGAGAGCGGATTTGTAGTACTTCACTAGAGTCTTGAATACGGGTCTCGTATAGACAACAAACATCAACATTAAGACCTTCCAAAGACATAGCCAGCCCTATCTGTTGTCTGATATGCATTAGTGTGCGAACGTTGAAGGAAGCCAGCTTGAACGGCGTACGTGGTTTCAGAAAGACTGCTTCAGTATTCATGATCGGTGGAAGCATTCACTTTCAACCAGACAGTGACTGGAGATCGTTTAGATAGGACAGATTTTCCACCAAGAGCGAGCTGCTGCATAAGTTGAAAAGTAAGGTTACACAAATTGGGGATAAAAGGGGGTGAGTTAGCGATATGGTAAATAATAATAATAATAATAATAATAATAATAATAATAATAATAATAATAATAATAATAATAATAATAATAAAGGTAATAATAATAGTGTAAATTGTCTTGCTTCTAGTATGAGCAGTAATAGTATCGTCATGAGCAGGAATAGTATCGTCAGATGGATGTACCTGCATCTCACAGTTGATGTTCACTCTGGAACTCGAACACAGTACCTTTCGCTTCAAACGCGTTATCCGCTCAGCTACTGTGTCCTGATAGCCACTTGCTTGTGCAATGGGGTGAAGTTTAAATTCATTCAGTACGGTTAGTTTGAATCTTCCACTGCTAGCCACTATCTATCTTTACTTGCAATGCTTGTGAATTAAGGCTATATCGAGGCAATATGCACAGTATGCACATATAGCCAATAAAAGACTGACCAGTTGCAGTCCTAAACATCAATGGAAATATTCAAACAAACAATACTAAGTGAATTTAATGTTACGTCACATTTTCCCAAATTCGAAAAATTGCTAAACCGAGGTGAACCAGTTTAGTTAAGGAATCTGTACATATAATTGGTAACACTTTTCATTTCTGTGAATGCTTTCTCATGTATTTCTATTCAAGACATTCATTAGACAATGATCTAACACTTGTTGTGTTAAGAATAAGCTCCGATTCATTACTTTTATTAAGTTTACCTGACGTAATGAAGGTATATATGATGCACAATATTATGATATTGGTCATGTATCAAGTGTTTAAAATAAAGCTTACTGCTATCATGTTAACGTTAGACAAAACTCCTTAAAGTTAATGTCAACTTTTATAACTAAGAATCCTCCCTTCAAGAATCGATGTGAGTATCTAACCAGTAAGTGTTATTAATGTGCAAATGAATGAAACGAATGAAACTATGGAGCCGCCACCCAAGGGAAATAAAGTTGTCAATAACTTTTCCTTCTCATATCTAGTAAGCCATTATCACGCCAAATACTATCAAAAGACAAGCATAAAACAGTGTACATGTACGTGCCAGAGCACATACATTGGAAGAGAAAGGAGAATTTTGTATCTGCATCCCCAAACATATTCCACAATATATCATGAAGCATGAACCATATCATGGTGGCTACCTCTAAAACATCTGTTTAATCAATTAATAATGATCTTTCTGTTTGTAGACAACTATAATCAATATGCTAATCTCTTGTAGATATAACTTTGTTACAATTTGAAGTTCAATTCAGACACTACCATCATCGTAACAATTAATCAATTATTTATTAAGTAGTAGTAAGCTAAAACTGAGCAGGGTGGCTTTCATGTCAAAGAAGAATAATAATGTCTACACATTATGCATTTTAATATGTTTTCAGATTAACAGGAACGTGTAGGTAACGAAATCGATTAGATGAATGATTCATTTAACTATATTAACCTATCTAACTTAACATTCATTTGTTGTGTAGCTTTGAGACAACACTTGATCATTATATTAGGGCAATGTATTAATTTTGTTGGTGGTTAAATTTCATTTTAAATTGAATTGACATTAAAATAGAAAATAAAGCCTAATACTTACTTGACATCGACACCCATCCGAAATTCATGTTTACCTTTGGTTTCAAGTGGAACTGTTCTTCTAAATAGAGCTATCCGTTGATCTTCATCTATATCACTATCTTGAATATCAAGTTCAATTTCTATAGTATCCTAATGGAGTTGAAAGAAAAAAGACAAATTTTGATATTATGTTTCATGAAATAAACTTTAATGAAGTGTCTTTTTTTAAGGGAAGGGACTTTGGAAAGATTTCTAATCAACCCAGTTAAGTATATTCTTGTTTATTTGACTTATTTGGGCGGAGAAATAGTTTACCACAATTTCCTATAGATAAGTTCCACATACATTTATTTCTGTAGTCCATCAATCAACCGTCGTAGAATCACATAATTATGGTGTATTAAATAAGTGTTTAACTTTAATATAGAAAAACATTGATCACATATTATTCAAGATTGTATTCTTCCCAAAAGTTACTATTTTAGTGAAAACTGTTTGAACACATTAGTATTTCTACAATTTGTAGATAAATTCACTTAGTATTGCTTGGTTGAATCTTCCTATTGAAGCAAGTACATCCAGCTGATGAGTCTCAAATAGGACGAAACGCGCGTCCTGGATTTCACTGCTAGCCATTATTCATTTTTGCTTAAAATGTCTGTGAATTAAAGCCATATCGAGGCGATACACGCATCATGCATATGTACTGATAAGAGACTGACCAGTTGCAGTCCTAAATATCAATAGGAAGATTCAAACAAACAATACTAAGTGAATTTAAACTTCACCCCATTGCACAAGCAAGTGACTAGCAGGACTCAGTAGGTGAGTGGATAACGCGATGGCGTTTGAAGCGAAATGTACTGGTTTCGAGTCCCAGAGTCAACATCAATTCTGAGATGTATGTACATCCAGCTGACGAGTCCCAAATAGGACGAAACGCGCGTCCTGGATTCCACTGCTAGCCACTATTCATCTTTATTTATTATGTTATTTGAAAGTTTACTTTGATATTACAGTATGTTTAGTTCAAACAAGATTTTGAATCATTATGAAAAAGCGTATCTGACATGTATTTGATCGATGGTAGCTTTAAAAAATCTTCCGTATAGAGTAGAATTATCAACTGAGGTATAGTATAGTTTGGTGTCAAGATACGATAAAGCCATTCGTAAGGCCTTAAACTTCGATAAACTAAGGAGTTTAAGATATTCATTAATGAATAACAATTGGAAAGGATTGCTCAGGACAGGGTTGGATGGAGAATGCTAGTGGGCGGCCTATGCTCCTCTGAGATGAAGTGCATCCAGCTGACGAGTCCTAAATAGTACGAAACGCGCGTCAAACTAAATTCCACTGTTAGCCACTATCCACCTTTACTTCCCTATTTGTTTGAGTTTAAAATATTTGTGATGAAAAAGACTATTTTTTTGGTAAAACACATCAGAGATATACACGTACGTATATATATATACATATGCATGTATAGGCGGCTATACATTACAATGTTATTCTTCTTAATTTAGAAAGAACAAAATATATGAAGGCAAAATCAAACTTCATATCAATTGTCTATCAATTTTGATCGTAAAATTTTTCTATCCTTCAGAAATAGTGAAAGAACAATCAATTATGAAACAAGTAACAGATTCTAAGTTGATTTAATAGCTGTTAGAGTTTTATGGGTTAAAAAAAAATGAAAGAAATTAACGAATAGTGACAGACAATAGCACATGTTACTATGCACTTAGAATTGATGGTTAATATGAACATGTATTGTAATGTATGTCTGTAGAGAAAAGATAAACCATATCATACTACTGATTGATATTGAACAATGTGATATAATAAGAAATAGGCTTTAAAGCTTGAATTCATTTTTATTGCAAAATGTCATCAGAATAGACTTCGAAAAGTAGTAAACTATAGTTAGAATTGAATTGTAATTCATGTATACTGATTCAAGGCAAAATGTGGGATCTCAGTTCATAAAGTCACTAATTTCTGGTTTGAACTATGTTGATAGGTGCAGACTTCTATCGTTACTAGTGGTTGGAGATTCTGAGGGAAATGGCTCAAAATTGATCAGAATGGCGTAGATATAAACACTATTTGTCTTCCCTTAAACCGTGAGATTGAAAGCATTTTATACTTTTCGTTCTACGAAATAATTTTTTCTCCCTCTATCATGTTCTTATATGCAATCCTTTATATATATTACTACAGTTGAAGTAACTACTTTTATGAATTCGATGTTCATCTTGTTGTGTTAATCAGGTATGGCAACTTGGACCGATCCATATATGTGCTTGATCCTACGTTGTAGATGAGTGACTGACTGATATATCGATTCATATGTATATTCGTTGTTTGGATATCCCATTGATGTTTGAGGCTACGGTTGATTATTCACTTTCAGGATATGTACACCCTGTGCATATTATCCCGATATTGACAATGATTCACAATCATTTTAAGCAGAGTTCTCGAGTCCCGGAGTGAACATTATTTCTTGGATGTAGGTACATCCTAGTGATGAGTTCCAAACAGGATGAAGCGCTTCCTGGATTCCACTGTTATCTACCAGTTATCTCTGTCTAAAATACTCTTAGGATTTATCCATGAATGGTTAACAATAAAAGTATAGTCAAGGGGAACGAGTGAATCAGAATTGCGGATGCGAGTTTTATGTTTCCATGACAAATTCAAATATTCCTTATAATAAGAAATGGACATAACCTTTCCTTACTGATTAGGATGTTTAAAATGATTGTGATTAATTGATTTTTGTTACCATAAAGTAGCATCGAAATAAACTGTGATGTTGCATAGTTGAAGTAACTGGTTTGCAAATCATGACTTGAAGTTCGTGATAATTAGCGTTAGTTATTTGCTGTTTGAACAAACATTTCGGAAGTAACTCCGCTTATCATGGAATCCAATCACACTTTTATAATTTTTTCCTTCAAGATTACAGATTTACTTTGTTGGAAAGTTCTGATTAATATGGATTACAAGTTCAGAACTTCCAATCAATTACCTTCGACGATAATCCGTCTAATGAATCCCATAGTGATATCGAGTCAATCGAGCAAGTGGCCGCAGTTCAGTTTGACTAATATAATCCAATTAGTACTAAGGATTAAAAATAGTGATAATGATCTTGTCAAATTTATATCTTAAGGTTACTGAAATTAAGGGCAGATTCATATTTAAGATAAACCTATCAGGGAATACGAAATAATCAGTATAAAATCATTAAATCACCTATACACTACCTATAACCAGTTTTGGCTAATAATTTGTCTGAAATTTATGTATTTAGTGATGACTCTTGTCTCTTGCTCTTAGAAACAGATGTGTTCACTGTGAAGGTCTTATGTTGAAACCCACATATTGTAATAAGTGTATAATGTCATGGATTCCTGAAATAAAACGAAAAATCCATTCACTATTCACTAGTTTTCAGCTCATGACAAACATTCGCTTTACAATACATAAAATGACATCTACAGAACTAACTCAACATTCTTAATCAATTTCCTTCTGTAACAAAAATATTCTGATTTTAATACTTACCGGAAATATTGGCTGTATTTCATATGTGTCGAGAATGTGGTCAATATACTTTGAGTTTGCAAATGGTCCAGCTTCTTTGCGTAACGTTGAACGTTTCTCCCATCTAGAAGATCAAATGAATAGGTTTACAAAAACAGTTGACATGACCAACTTCGGTATATATATATATGTAAATATAAAGTTGATTATGTGTGTACAAACCATTGAAATAAAGTTGAAATCATTTCTTCAAAGTGGTCTAATACTGTGCTTTTGATTTTATCAAATGGCTCTATGGAGGTATGAAACAAACAGTTAAGAAACCGGAAATTAAGATGCGTGGACTCTTTTCTACTTCATCATCTTTTCTCCATTTCCCAGTCACTTAAAGGTAATAATATGCAAGTAAACTAACAGACTTTCAACATAAAGTCAATCACACATAAGACTAAGCATAGAAACAAGCTAGAAAACAAAATTGACACTGTTTTAACTGCTCTAAAACTAGTCATATGAACAGCTTACTGACAAGTTTATTCAATTATATAACAATATACAAAGGAATCATTAAGTTTTACATTGTATTACCCAAAAAGTGATCTAAAATATTAATTATTGATTATGTGGGTACTATGAAAAATTTTTACATGCCAATCGATCTTTATTGATTGATAATTAAGGTTATTTATAACCTAATCTAAGTTTAAAATTCTAATATCCAATTACTATGTAAAGTTGGAAATGTGAACCATTGAATCCAAATATATAACTAAGTCATCATCTTGATTAGTGTATTTTATCTAAATGTTCAGTTTAAATCATACTGAAAAGCAGTTTCAAATCCCCGATTGTTCACAATAACTTTATCATCAGACTCTATAATTCATAATTATTGTGATATTTTAAAAACACCAAAAAATGGCATGTATTGCTAAACTCTAATAGTTGAATTCATGAATTCGACTGTTAAAACTACTACAATCTCGAAAAACCCTTATTCTGATGGTAATCATCATGTGCTCAGTAGTGACTGGAATCAAGATGGATTTCCTGGAGTTCTAGTGAGAGGCAGTGGCCAGTGGAATCCAATCCATGTCGGATAGAGACATGTGTCCAACTCAGACAATGGATGGATGGTTGCGCGAGATCATTGGTTGATTGAAGTTAGATATTAACTTCATTGGATATCTGCTCAGTGATCTAGGGGTTAAGCATTCGCGAAGTTCCTGGGTCCGAATCTCTCATGTGGGATCGTGGATATACACTCATTAGAAATCCCATATTAGGACGAAACGGCCGTCCAATGCTTCCAGGTTTCCAATGATGGTCTAGCTTTAATCGGGTCATGAATTCAACCATTAAAATTACTGTAATCTCCAAAATCCCTCATTCAGATATTAATAAATTTGACAATGTTATAAGTTAAAAATGATGAACTTTTGAGTCTATTACGGCATAAATACTTTAAAATTGTTACTTGCAAATTAGAAAGGTCATTTAATAAACGCCAGAATAATCCATAGTAAAGGGTCAAGTTATAATCAATATACATGCTTTAATTCAATCTATGTACCGCTAACAATTGGTGACGATGATAACAACAGTGATAATAATAATAATAATAATAATAATAATAATAATAATGCGTGAATGTACTATGCAATAAAGGGAGGTGTTGTAAAGATAATTATGCCAACAAAAGAAGTCATGTAACTTGGGGAAGATGAATGTGTAGATTAAGAAAGATACAAACACAAAATGAATTGAAAGGAGGATAAAGGTTTATAATGTCCAGTTTAAGTATCTGGTGATCCAGTCGTAGACCAAGGTAAACATAGAGGCTGGATACACCTCTTCTGGATACATAAGTTCAGTTTTCTGAAATCGATCCATATAACTTTAGATATATAGAGTAGCCGTAGTCTTGCTCCTTTAGATAGATTTGTTTGTAATTTGACATAAAACAGAGAAAACTTTTCTTATATCCTTGCGAAGACATAAGTACGGGTAACTTCCGGGACCATTTAATGGAATATCATTCTATATATATACTTACTGTTTAATTATTGAGTAATCAGATTGTGTATATCTATATTCATCTTATTACAAGCTTCATTTTGATCTATGGATCATTATTATATGATTTACTGTGCCTAAATCATATTCAGTTTATTGATTACTGTATCCCACGTTCACAGCCACATTTGGCTTGATCTTGTACAAATATTATTTTCTATATTATGGTGTGATACGGTCTATCTGTCTGGTATATAAACCGAGTATGTTTGAAATAAAGGATTCGCGTAGTAGAAGCTGTAATTAGTGTTTCTGGACTTAATTGGAAGCGCTAGGCGGACAAGGGGCCAATAAAGACGCTAGACTGCTAATACCAGTTGAACGTCATTGTTTTAGCACAGTACTAAGATTGGATAAGTCGTATTCCGATTGGTGGATAAATCACGTGATAAAAAAGCTGAACATAAAATCATAACAAATTGGCACCAGCCCATTCTTTTTTTAAATTCATAACAGCTTTATGTTTATATCTTTCTTAATCTACACATGCATCTTTCCCAATTCACATATTGAAAAGAATCCTTTATTCGAAAATATGTAGTTTGTTAGTTATAGTTGAACATGAGTTATATTATACCATTTCACACACAGATTATTATGAATTTAAATAAATACGCACTGCTGAGGAGTCCCACAATGGGTCAAAACGGCCATCCAGTGCTTCCAGGTTTTCTACGGTGGTCTAGCTTCAATTGACTTATGATTTCAAGTATATGTAAAGAATGGTTCAGTAGTTACCTATTTTATAATGAATCATTTTAACTCACTTTTCAATTGATGTATAAGCAGCAAAATGAAAAAATGGATCACAATGATCACCAAAAACATTTAATGCTTCACATTTTCTTAATCTGCTATCCAAATTATAGGGATTTTGATAATTTTTTATTACGTAACTTATATTCACATCAGCCTAAATAAAAAAGGGAAATGAAAATTTTAAATTCATGGTAAAATTACTATGCTAAAAAGGGAAAGAAAGTAAATGATAAATATATACAATTCTGAAGGACTTGCCACGCATGACATTGATCACCACCCAGTGATCAAACAATTGTGATTACATATCAGTCCTACAGGAGGTTGGTCGCTGCCCAAGTAGCTCAGTGATAACGTCTCTGACTGTGAAGCTGAGTGACACGGGATCGAATCCGTCAGGGACCACCAGTTCCCTCAAGACTACAGGTATACCTTGCTGATGAGTTCCAAATAGCACGAAACCCGGGTTCAGGGTTGCCTGTTGACCACCTCCAACCACCATCTTATCTCGAAATAGTACACGCAGTGTCGAGCCATCTAGACTGGTGGCCACGTTGCAACTTGATCGATAGCATTCGATCAGCACTAAGACAGACTTGACACGCATGACATTGATCACCACCCAGTGATCAATCAATTGTGAATACATAATTCCGAATTTAGATAATCGAGAAACATAACTTGAGTCTTCTTATTGATGTTTAGGACTGCAATTGATCAGTCTCTTATTGGCATACGTGCATCCTATGTGGATTGCCTCGATATTACCTTAATTTATAAGTATTATAAGTAAAGTGGTTATGGCGATGACTTTTGAAGTGAACAGTAGTGGATTCGAGTCCCTGAGTAAACATCGACTGTAAAGTGGAAGTATATCCAGCTGACGAGTCCCAAATAGGGCGAAACGCGTGTCCTAGATTTCACTGTTAGCCCCTATTCATCTTGGATTATAACGAAAATATGATATCTCGAATATAGTTTAGCATTGAAATTCAGTTGATTAATCAATCGTAGTCAAAGTAAAACCTGTTGCATAAGTGAGTCAGTTTAAGTCGGCATATTATACCAGCAAAATGAGTCGTCCATTAGAGTATGAAAAATGGAATACAAACGTCACGTTCAAATTACAATAATTTTAAAGTAGAAAGGAATGGGATAGTTTCCAATGTTCATCATTACTTCACTTTTTCTCTCCTTACATCAACTTCCTTCCAATCTACTCCAGCATTAAAAAACAGTTCACATTGAAGTTTGTTATTGTTCAGAATCTGTAATGCATGTTCCAACCTCTTTGGTGGATGAAACTGGAATCCAAGACTCATATTTTAACCTATTCGATAGTTGTCTACGCGCATCGTAGTGTTGATATTTACGAATTGTAGATCATTCTTTAAACGTCACAGTTCGAGACATTTAACCAGATTTGCTTTGTGTTGAAAAAGTTTGAAGCTATGGGAGTGGCTATAATGTCAAGTTTAATATTTTTTTCAAATTGTATTCTTTTTAATGGAACCATCCAACCCTTTGAAGAGAATAGTATTTATAAGTACTATGTTGCTACTATTTACCTTCTGAAATATAAAACTAATTAAAGAATGTACATCATTAAATGTATTAAAAATTTATTTCCAACTGACTGTTTTCTAACTTAGATCCATTTTTAATCTCAGTAACATTCAACGATCCCCATATTCTCATATGAAGGAAAATTAGTTGTAATTGAAAATTCACATTAAAACTGGTTGTCTACCTAATTAAAGCATTTCGTGTTACCTATAATACTGTCCAGTTGTCCAAATTTTCTTATTGAATAGGAAGCAATTAATTATATCTTGTTATTCTGTTTTTTTAAAATAGTTTTTTCCTATCAATGAAGTATTTGATCCATTATCTTCGTTGTTGCCATTTATTTGTTACAATTTCATTGATAAAGATGGATAATAGCTATCAGTGTAATCCAGGACACACATTTCGTCCTATTTAGGACTTGTCAGATGGATGTACCCATTGCACAAGCGCGTTTCTATCAGGACTCAGAAGCTGAGTGAATAACTGGGTTCGATTTCAGAGTGAACATCACATCTGAGATGCAGGCGTACATCCATTTGACAAGTCCGAAATAGGACGAAATGCGTTTCATGGATTCTATTGCTAGCCACTATCCATCTTTGCTTAGAATACTTGTGAATTAAGGCTATATCGAGGCAATACACACAGTACGCACATATGCCAATAAGAGACTGATCAATTGCAGTGTTGAATATCAATGGGAAGTATCAAAACAAACAATACCAAATGAATTTAATGATTCATTGATAGTTGAAAGCGTGAGTCACTTGAAGCTAGACCACCAGGGAACACCTGGAAGCACTTGACGGCCGTTTCGTCAAATCTCGCTCGCGAGGCGGAATCGTGAACGCTGAGGAGTCCCATGATAGGACGAAACGGCCATCCAGTGCTTCCAGGTTTTCCATGGTGGTCTAGCTTCAAGTGACTCACGCTTTCAATTATGAAAACACTAAATCTCCACAAAAAAACCCTTTATGGTTATTCATTGATAGAAAATAATTAGCATAAATCAATAAACACGGAACCCTTATCTAAAATTCATGTAGTCAATGTTTATTTTTAAACAACTTTCTAGAATGTGTTTACCTGGTTTCAATCAAATCAAACTTATTATTATCAATATAAACAATATAAGTTATTTCATATTACAATCCAGTTTACAATATTATTCAATCAAATATCTGTTTACATTTAGATATGAGACAAATAAAATGGTTGATACATTAGTTATATAATTATTGGATATGTATATTTTGGTTTCAAAGTGAAATGGAACAAATTTTTGGTTATATCTAGAACTTTTGATTCTTGCTTTGTCACGTACTACTAGATTACTTGAACGATTAAACCTGCAACGTCGCAAAAGAGAAGACAGAAGATTAGTAAGTAGGAATGTTATCCCCAACACAGTTTCAAATATAATACAAAAATCTCATGTATTTATAGTATTTTTTTGCTGAAAGTAAATCATCATTTCGGACAGTCAGTAGGTACATAGGAGGTCCTTCTTATTCATCCAATAGAGAAGCTAAATGTTGACATTCTAGAATGTTCCTTCAGAGGTGATTGGATGGAATGTCTTCGGCTCTTTCTGGGCTTCTTGAGTTTGCCAACGAGCCATCCTTACATTTTTCAAGTGACAATATTTGATAGTGAATTTAAGTCTATTTGAACTTTAGCCCAAAAAAGTTTAGTTCTAACCTGGATTGTTTTGTTTGGTTTTTTGACATAAAAGTGACAATTCATGAGAAGTGGTGTTTTCGATGTTCATAAAAGTCAATTGGTACGCTATAATGTAAGTGAGGTTTACTAATATCTAGTAATTTCTAAAAGACGAGTTTTCAGTGGAACCAATATGACCAGTATGAGAAAACAAATTGTGAAAAAACTGTTTTCATAGTTGAAAGCGTGAGTCAGTTGAAGCTAGACCACCCCGGAAAACCTGGAAGTACTGGACGGTAGTCTCGTCTTACTGTGGGACTCCTCAGCAGTGCACACCCACGACCTCGCCTCGCAAGATTCAGAATCAGGACCTACCAGTCTCACGCCAGAGCACTTAACCGATAGACCACTGAGCCGGCATCCGATTGTGTATTTGTCTAACTCCAACCAATCCACGAAGTTGAGTAACCGTCCACAAATTGTCTTCAGTGAGTTTCTATCTCACAACAGACGTGGTTTGATCTCCACTGGTCACTGCTTCTCACTACTACTAAATCTCCACAAAAACCTATTCTGAAACAAACTGTTGTTTAGTATTACATTTTTAAGTTTTGTGATTAGTAGTGAAATTCGGGTTGTACATCTTGTTCTATTTGGAATTTGGCCACTGAATGAAAATGGATCTTATAGTGAACGATTACATTGAATATGAAACCAGACAATTTGTGCTTCAAAATACCAGGCAATATTTACTATGTAACTCAATTACTCTAGTCAGTTACCCATTGAAAAAAGTAATATGTTGATTATGATAACTGGTTATTCACAGTACTAATATTAGCAGCAGTTATTACCATAGTATTATTTGTGTTTTTTTTCCATTGTTTATACCCAGGAGTTGAGTTCATCTGTGTCTGTTGAAATATAGCCACCTCTGGGGATTTTATCGATATTACTTATGTCTACAAGACATTCATTTAATTGAATAGTGACTAAAAGCGGAATCAGAGAAGCACAGTCTCTTCTATTTTGTACTTATTTCAAGCAACATCGAGTCATCTACTTAGGGAGCCTATATAGCAGAAGAAACCCATCAAGTTCAGTTCAGAATACCTACAATGGAATAATAGAAATCTTTCCTTACTTATAACAATAACTGTTATTCAATTTATGTAACTGTACAGTATTTTATCAAAACTTCATTCCTTCTTCACTTAGTATTGTTTGTTTGGATCTTCCCATCGATGTGTTTAGGACTGCAACTGGTCAGTCTCTAATTGGCATATGTGCATACTGTGCGTATTGCCTCGATATACCTTAATTCATTCCTTCTTATTTTTTCTGAATTTAACATATTACTGATAGAACCAATCGTAGTTTTTTTCATAAGTTCATAACAAATGAGTACATCCAGGTTTTCCTTGGTGGTCTAGCTTCAATTGACTCATACCTTCAACTATGAAAATGAGTATTTACTGAGTATCATAATATGTTGTCATTCATCATCTATTACCATTAACGTTGGCAATATTTCAAAACCTATTTTATCAATTAAGAGTTCAGAGTATCATTACTTGTCTTGTTCACATGATGTTCAAAACTATCCACATTATGAGCAGTCTAAAGTTTGAACAACACTTGTAGGATTGGTTGGTATGTTAAGCCCATATACCTTATTATAGCTTCAGGACAAGCCAATTTACCTACCCATCTTGAGTCATGTTTTGACCTTGTTAATTATTCACTGATTAACGCTATTTTTTATATGAACGTAGATGTGTGTACACTTCTTATCCTATTCATCATATGTCTGTCATTTATTCTTGTCTGACTATAAATATTGATTAACGCTTGATAAAAGCGAGTTCGCTTACCCTCCATCTCCAGTGCGTGTCATTTTTGTTTCGCTCGCTGATATTTACT